ATCATTTTTTCATATGTCTCGTGGCCTTTTGTATGTCCCCTTTGGAAAAGTGTCTAGTCCCGTCTTTTGCCCATTGTTCAATTGGATTGTTTGTCTTCTTTTGTTAAATTATATGAGTTCTTTATATACTTTGTATATTAACCTCTTATCTGATATAACATTGGCCAATATGTTCTCCCATGCAGTGGGCTTTCTTGTTGTTTTGTTGATGGTTTCTTTTGCTGTGCAGAAGCTTTTTATTTTGATGTAGTCCCATTTGTTTATTTTCTCCTTAGTTTCCATTGCCCTAGGAGCTGTATTGTTAAATATATTGCTACAACAAATGTCTGCTATTTGAAAAGTTTTAATTAAAAAAAAAAATCAGTGTGTATTCTAGCCAGTTCTTTCCAGCTGCCCTCTCAGGTCCTAGCCCTCCTTTCTTATTTGCTTAGAGGATTTATTAGCTGTTTGAACCTTCCTGTGGAAGTTGATCTGAGATCCTCTTTTCAATTGCCATCTAACTCTAGCTCCATGGAGAACTGGGTCACTAGCCTGGCCGAGAGCAATCCTGGCAAGTCCAACTTAGAAGGGAAGGCTTGTCAAGGAAGTGGCTAAGCCCTGTCACCCCAAACTTCCACTCCTAAAAATCAAAGTAAAGACTTATGTTTTTCTGAGCCTGAGTGAGTTTTGTGATTAGGTTCCATCTTGGAAGGTTCTGTTTGTGTGAGCTTGGTCTCCTGGTCTCTTGTTTTCATGAAAGGACTATTTGACATTTGACCAAAGGATGATTACAGGCCAGTGGGGATTGGTATCGGTTGATTAACTGCAAGATGTAAGATTGATGAAGTAAATGACCCCAAAAGATAAACAGGTCCTCCATTCAAGGCTTGATTTGATCACCTTCAGCCTACTACCACTGCTTTGGTCAGAAACTACAAATACCATGAAATTTGAGTCAATGCTAATAACTTAACTCTATTGTGCTCAGTGACTTTCACCACGTTGAGTTTAATCCTTGGTGGTAAGAGTCAGCAGGGATAACTAGCATTTTAAGTAAAGTGCTAGGAGCCTGAAACATGTAAATTTGAAGGAGGTTTGTTCCCCTGCAGATGATTTAAATGTTAAGTACATCCCCATGCAGGGGATACACGAAATGGAATCTGAAAACTATTATCTCCTGTAGAAATGAACTCTCAATTTACTCACTGCACAGGAAGGGCAGATTCTAGTCATTTTCACTGCCAGCAGGTGCCCTTTCTATGCATAATAGACTTGGCAAGTGTAATTAACACATGAGGACCACTGCTGCCAGTTTTTCTTCAGGTACATGCTGCTAGGAGTTTTCAGGACAACAGGGTAGTGTAGGCTGTAAGAGCTTTTTACAGTGTACTTGAAGATGAGGTGTTCATTGACTTCAGACAAAGACATGTTAAAAGGGTCTGTGCCCAGACCCTGCTGTTGGTAGCATAGGTCATGGTCCTTGAGCTCAGAGACCCCAAGAGCTGTCATGCAACCTTTGGTAGAACAGAGGCCAGTGGAGCAAAGTTCTGGGATGCAGTGAGTAAATGGAAAGTATGATGCTGAAACCCCACAATTATGTGGAAGACTTTAATTGCATATTCACAAATACAACAACCAATTATCTGAGTTAACTTTAATTAGAGCTATAATCACAGATTTTAATTATCTGAATAAATCGATTTAGCACAAATGGTCTTCCCTAAATATTTCCCAACTTAATTTTTTCAAGTCCCTTCCCATTTCTGAAGAGGGTGGTAGAGAAAGCACCTGCACTTTGGATTTAGGCAGATCTAGTTCGCATCTCAGTTTCATCTCTTATTAGCTGTGAAACCATTAAAAATCTATTTTGCACCTCTGACCTGCAGTTTTTTTTCTGTAAAATGGGTTTAATTTATCAACTTTGAAGGAAGGCTTTAGGAGTTATAGATATTGGTCATCAAGTGGCACACAGGAGCCATTTAGTGAATGGTGGTTGCTCTTATCATGGTTATTATAAATATGGGACATGGATTTTGGTTTCCAGAAGGGTTTAACTTGCATTAAACATTATTCTTGCTTCTATAGTCTGTGAGCTCAGGGAAGAAATTTATAATTCATCTTCTCTTTTTACCCCTCAGATTGTTTTTATTTTGATTTTTTTTTTATTTAACTTGAGTTATTGTATGGTTGTTTTCATTTGCAGCTGTGGCATAAGAATGAAAAGAAAAGAAACAAAAGCAGATGGCAGAGAAAACGAAAGGAGTAAGACATTTCCAGCCCTTATGAATATTTAAAAACATGTGCTGCTAGTTCCTTTCTACTTTAGATCTGTACCATTCTCCTAACTTTGAAAATGAAAATGAAAATGATCCCTACCTTGGCTGATGGCAGCCCTGACCTTGGCCAGTGTTGGCAGAGCCCTCCCACTTCTGGGATTAACTTGCTGATGAGAATCAACATTCCCTTTCATTAAAATCACCATCTATTGAGTCCAGTGTGTGTGTCAAGCTCTTTATAAACATTATTGCAAATATTCAAAATCAAGGTATAAGGCAAGTATTATTAGTTCCATTGTATAGATTCAGAAATTGATGCTCAGAGGGGTTAGTAACATACCCACTGTCAACAGCTAAGAAATGGGAGAGCCTGAATTTGCAATCCAAGGCCACCTGATATTAAAACTTTGTTGACTAACACTCCAAAATGTTAGAAAAGAAGTTGTACCCATCACCAAGATTTGTGAAAAAAAATCCTTGTAGGCTTCTTGATGACTTGCTAATTGTAAACTTATGTTATCATTGATTAATTATTCATTCATTCAGCAAATATTTATAGAGCACTTACTATGTACCAGGCAATCTAATTAAGCGTTGCTAATAAAAAGTCCATATGGTATTTCCCATGTAAATTCCCTTTTCTCCCTTATTTATTCAGAAGCAGTCCTAAATAAGGACCACAAATCATTTCCCAAATTTAATTGTTTATTTGGGTTATTTTGGACACTTGTTAACACACCTTTGTGATAAAACATTTCCACATAAGATCAGGACAAGTTCTCGTGTTCCCCTAAAGAATAGGCAGGTCAAGAGCCAAGTTAGTAACTAACTTCTGATGCTTGCTGAGGGCATAGTTGAACCGAAAAGTTAAATCAGATACACACAATTAAGGTTTGGATTTTGCATTTGCCTTTGTAAAATGCATTGTAGTTCCTGATGTTTATTTCCAGGTGACTCTGGAAGCCATTCTTCTACTCATAGTGGGCATACTTTGATTCTCTGTGAGAGACACTGGTTCTAGGTTCTTTATATGTAGTGCATGTAGAGTTCTGAACCAAACCCCCATGTCCCATCCTGTATTCCATCTAGAGTTCTTAGCAAACAGTCTGAAGTATTCCTGATCTCAGGGTGCACAGTCTACATGGGTGATGGGGCATCAATCTAGACATAGCTGTGAAGTGACATCTGGACAATCAGATGGCTCCACTCCAATCTTTATCTTCATTGATGCCATGAAATGTTGCATAGGGAATAAATTGCTAAAGTAAGTGGGATTGTTGACATTCTTGGTGGCAGAAATAGAATTCATTGAAGTGTGGTATGGTGGAAACAAAACTTGGCTTTGGTTCTGGCTTCTCTATTTATTAGCTTTGAGGTCACTGAACCTCTTTGAGCCTACTTTCTCCTCTGTCAAGGAGGAATAGTAATTACTACTGATGCAAAACAGGTACTCTATTTAATAGTAGGAACTATTTTTGTTATTAATGACTGTATATGTATTTATAGTCAATATGTATTACTGTGTTATGTAGATTTTGTTAAAGATTTCCATTTTGTGACAAGTACTCTCCCCCAGCATCAGCAGCTATATTCCCACAATGGTGCTGAGACTGGCAAGGTGTCCCTTTACCATGGGAATGACCCTTCCCCAGGTAAGGAAGGCAGTTGTCTGCAGCCTACCCACCACATGGCCCTCCACCTCTTCTGCTGCTGCATCTAAGCATCTGGACCTGCCCTGCTGGTCCTACCCTCCAGAAGCCCTGCTGCTGCCTGATGTGGGACAGGGCAGCAGGCTGCCTCCCCAGCCCCGTTTCTGACTAGCCTCCATGGGACAGAGCTGGCTCTGATCTCTGCTTATGAGACCAAGCCTGAGCCTGGTTTTCCATTTCTTCAGACACATTCTGTATGTAATTCCTCACTCCTTTCTGACCAGGAGCTTGTCTTGAACCCAACACTTAGAAAACTCTGAAACTAAGGCACGGTGTCATGGTCTTAGGAGCAAAGACAGTCTAGATATGTTCCTGATCATCAATAGAACAGGATCCACAGACCATGTGATGCCCTCACCACAAAACCTACAGCAGTGGAGAGCTTTTGTGATGTGTCCCTGCCTCTCTGAGTTTGGGCACAAGGGAGAATACACCAAGCACAGGCACAGGGCTAGGCTCAGAGTCATCTCTCAATTGGATTTGTTTTCCCCTTAAACAGTAGACAGACTGAGAGGCTAAGAAGGAAATTGGATGCTGTGCATCTTGGCATGTGGCATGCCGTAGTCCTGGAACACAAAATCTTTTTTCCTTATCACCAGTTGCGTTTTCAACTTTTACATTTTTTGGTTTGTTTTGTTACTTTCTCTTTATTTTTCCATAGATCTCTTTCTCTTTTTCTCTTCTTGTTTCTTTTGTAGCTCATTCAGTCCTGCATTTCTACAAGGGTCTCATGGGCTGCTGGTGGCTGACATTCTGAGGTTTCCCTTTTGCAGCTGGCTCTAGCTGTTATGGTTCTCATTGAACTCTCTGGGGCAATCAAGAGCCCCGTCTCCTGACCTTTCCTCTGTGATTAACTTCTGCTCCAGTGGTCTTAGCCATGGAGCCCTTCTTGACGTTTTGCAAGTCTGTCTCCTTTTGGGGAGACCAATGAGGCCCAGAAGGGAGGGCTGCTCCAGGCTTTGATGTTGACCTTACAGGTTTTCTTCCAGGCATTATCTTTGTAACTCAAGTGTTCATTCGGTTGAGTTCAGTGGCTGGAGCTCTAAAGGCCTCTCTCCCAACCCCCAGAGTTATTACTCCACAAAGCCATAGGGCCACACTCAGAGGGCATTGTCCTTGCTCTCCCCCTTCACCCATCAGCTCCAGTGATACACACATGTCTCAGATTAGCAAACCATCTCCAGTGCCCAACTCCACACACACCCAGCTCCTCCACTGTGGTGAGACCTGTGGTGTGGCTGCCAAAATTGCAGGTGAAAATTAGGCAGTCTCTGCCTCCTCCCCTAGTCTAGACTTGCTCCTTTCCTCTCAGGGATCCTACCATCCTCTGCCATGGCTCATAAATCATGTAGGGCCAGTTGGAAAACAGGCAAAAAGTTGAATACCTTTTCCCCAAAGAAACCTTGATTAACTCATGGCATTTACACCCCTTCTACTTTCCAATCCGTGTTTTCTGCCTCTCACCAGCTGTGACCTTTGTCAAGTCACTTAGCCTCTTTGAGCCATAGGTTCCTCTGTGAATTACGGAGATCAGGTGTGCAAGATTGCTGCGAGGATGAAATGAGGTGGTCACAGCACCTATAAGTGTGCCCGCAGCAGGGACACACACAGTTTGTGCTTGTTTAATGTCTGCTGTTACCCCTAAAATAGGCAGGAACCAGAACTCTCTTTTTCTCTTCTCTATCCTCAGACCATGTGGTACCTGACACATAGTAATATTTGTTGGCTGTCTGACCAGCATATAGAAAACCACACATAATAAATGCATCATAAGATGTTAATTTTCTTTTTCCCTTCACCATTGTTTTTAAAAGTTCAAGTGCCTGAGTGACTGTTTTCCTCTATGGACACCAGGAATCACATTATGCTACTAGTTCCCGCTTTGGCTTGGCAGCTCGAGTGCTCAGAGGCAGATCTGTGGGCCCCCAGCAGGTGTGAAGAACCTCACCGCACACAATTGAAGTGCTAACCTCCCCCCAGCTTGCACTTTTTTCCTTTGCCCCTATTTCTTTTTCTACTTTTATTGCCCTATTGAACATGTTTATATAAACTACCTTAAATCTTGCCTGGGACAAAAAAGAGTATCGATTAATTTATTAAAGCTAGTAAAGCAAGTGTAGTTTTCTCCTGGCTATGAAGTGTCCAGGTGCTATTTGATTTTTTAGCTATAAATATCAAATAACCATTTTTTTCTTTTTCTAAATATACTAGAGGCCCAGTGCACAAATTCATGCACAAGTGGGGTCCCTCTGGGTGCCCTGCAGGGATCGACTGAAACCTGTAGTCCAACACCTCCTGCAGCTCCTACCTGCCGCTCCCGCTCATCCCGGCCCCACTGTGCCTGCTGTGGGTTCGTGCCCAATCAGTCCCAATCAGGAGAGGCTCGTGCTGCCACAGTAACACTCACCAGCCATTAGTCCTGCGTCTGGTGCCCTCCCAAGGGGAGTGGCCTGCGGGATTGGGCTGAAACCAGCTCTCCTGCATCCCCTACGGGGTCCCAGATTGCGAGAGGGCGCAGGCCAGGCCACAATCAGTGCACAGTCGGGCCAGGGAGGACTTCAGGCATGTCCAGCCCATCTTGCTCAGTCCCAATTGGCCGGACCCCAGCAGCAAGCTCTCCTACCAGTCAGAGCATCTGCCCGTTGGTGGTTATTGCATGTCATAGCGACTGGTTGACCAGTTGACTGTCTGCCCCCTGGTGGTCAGTGCACATCATAGTGAGTGGTTGAGCAGCCTTAGCATATCATTAGCATATTACACTTTGATTGGTTGGTTGGTTGTTCTGCTGTTCGGTCTATTTGCATACTACCCTTTTATTATATAGGATTTTTATGATTTCAGAGAAGGAGGGAGAAGAGAGAGATAGAAACATCAATGATGAGAATCATTGACCAGAATCAAACTGTGAGCTCCTGGTTCATAGATTGATGCTCAACCACTGAGCCACGCCAGCCAGGCCCATTTTTTTTTCTTAAGTGTGACATAGCGGTTAAAAGAACTTTAGCAAAAATAGCATAAGAGGCTTTGAAGTAGAAGGATTTGGGCGGGAATCACCATCAACTGTGTCCATGCACAAGTTTCCAAGAATCCCTTTTTTAATCTTTGAGATGGAGGGTGCAGGTTGGATAATTTGAGGATGAAACGAGGTGAGTTAGCGCAAGCCCCAGCACAGCCCTTGGTGTTTGGTGAGCGCTCAGTGCATACGTAGCAGCCCCACTGTCCTTATTCTGCCTGCTCTGCATATGGAAACGAGCCCGCCCACTTCTCCTGCGACTGACAGTCTAAAATAATCACACAAATCAGATGTGACTTATGCCAAATGGACAGCCCAGATGAAAGCTTGTAAAAAGTGGGGCGTTAGCAACCATTGGGCACTCCGAACCTGGGGCTTGAGGGGGCAGCAGGACTTAAGGGGTGAAGGGGACTGAGGCCCACGAAGAACCCAAGGCAGGTTTAGAATAGGAAGCTCCTTGGTGAGGGGTGTTCGGACAGAGTGTAGAGGGGCTGGGACTGGCTCAGCTGCTGGCCGGCCTTCAGGGAACATAAAGTCTTCCAACCTCCTTTCACTCCTCCTTCCCAGCCTGGCAATTGCTGGTCTGGGAAATAATAAGCTTTATCTTAGGAAAACAGACTTGGGTTCTAGTCTCAGTTTTGTCATTTATTAGCTGTGTGACATGAATGAATGTTCAGCTTCCCAGCCTTCATTGCTTTTTCTATACATTGGTGGTAGTAATAGTACCCCCTCACACTGTTGCCTTGAGGATCCACTGAGAAAATGCCCGTGTAGCCGTTAGCTGAGTGCCGGCAAAGGCATAGTAAACAGTGGCTGCTCTCCCTAGCTCCCTGTGCAACAATGGCCATTATATTAGCCTGTAGACCATCTCTCTGGTCACTTTCAGTGAGACCAAAGCTGTGGTTATTTGTGTTCTCCGACACGATGTGTTGTATGCTCTTTGTTCTTGTTCTTTATCCCTTTCTTTTGTCCTTGAACCTCTCTAACAATGCCAGGCCTCGTTATTTCAGAACAGAATTTAAAATGCTTGGACAAGCTGTGTTTACACTTCTGTTTCTTTTCCAAAAAAGAAAAAAAAAAGGCAAGAAAAGAAACTCTCAAACAAGTAAGACCTGTTTCAGAGTTTTCATTTCCTTGGAAAATGGTGAACTGAGGAAAGTCTTGTGGGATCCACTTTGCCCCATCAGGGTATTTGGTTAAGAAGGTGGTGTGCCTCAGAAGTAAGATGGGTGCTGTGTTGTGTAAATTGTAATGCTAACTATGCATTTATATGGGGAAAAATGGAAAGAAAAACAGTGGATCTTCCAAATCCCTGGGCAGCTCTAAACTGGTTGCTTTCTGAAGTAAAGAGGTGTTGCTCACCTGGGGACCTGAGCCCTCCTACCTCTACCCAGACTTATTAATGGCCCTGCAGTCCCCTCCCCTCCTTGTCTCAGGAAGCCGTATTTTATGTATTTGAGCAGCCAGTGTTCTTTTCTAAATTTTTTTTTAATTTCACCTGACTCTTTTCCAATTAGTTGCTGCTCACCTCAAGGGAACATAATTAAGAGCGCTCAAGTTATCTGGAGGAAAGGAATTAAACAAATTGTGAAAGTGCTGTAATAATGTACAGGGACTGCAGCGCCATTAATAAGTCTGCAGCATCCATATTCATGCCTGATCATTGCTAGGAATGAGCTCATGCTGTAGGACTTACCTGGAAGAGAAATGGTGTATATTCCACGCCCAGCGTTCGTAGGATTGGGTGAATATCTCCCTTGGTAAATCAGCACTGCCTTCTTTCCTTTGGCTGAAATACTGAGTGTGTGCTGTAGGGCACCTTGAACACAGCATGTGCTTTCAGTCCAACAGCCTTAAATTTGAATATGGCTCTACTATTTGCTAGCTGTATGACCTTGGGCAAGTTACTTTACCTTTCTGAGCCTGTTTCCCATTCTGAAAATGTGGAAAATAGTGCTACCTTGAAGACTTGCCTTGAGAATTATGGATAAGTAATGCACTGAAGCAGCTGGGTTAGTAGCTCAATAAATATGAGGTCCTTTTCCCATTAAGAGGATTCAAACTGAACATACATTTCAGGTAAAGGTCATCATATTGTCACTGCTTGACACCAGCAATGGAACCCCTTTCCTTTACAGGAGAGAAGGGGGAAAGAATGGCTTTTACTCTTCCAGGATGTAACTGATGAAGTCAGTACAATAATTCCCAGAGAACAAAGGCCTAGTACAGATATCCCCTAATCTGCTCTTCAGAGATGTACAGTGGTATCCCACAATCGCTGTTAGCCACAGGGTAGTTGTGACACAATTGTCATGGCCTGCCTCTGCATGGACTTGGTCATACTGTTAATATTATCACCACTTTAATGATGTGTGTTATTGGTTCTGTACATGTTGTGTCTAATTGTCGTTTAAAATGTCTGCAAAATTGCACTCAGATTCTGCATTGAAATGTAAAGTCGCTGTGAATGCTGAAAGGTACCAGAGCAGAGAATACAGTGTTTTTTTGCTATTAGTGAAACAGATCTTTGCATTCATATTTTCTTGAAAAGCAGCAAACAAGTTCTTTCTGGGACCTAGTAAAGGAAGATAGTTTTTAGTAGATGAAGTTTTATTGTTCTGTTACCAAGATACCCTTGAGAAAACGTGGACATCTTGATGACTCTGAATCAGAAAATGATTCAGGTGAGTCGGGCTCTGAATGTGAAGAGCTTTTTTAGGAATAGCTTAACTCATTTTGCTCTATTTTCCTTTTAATATATGCCAAAGAGTGATAAGTACTTCTTAAAATGTGTCATCCTACATGATAAGAAAGTAATAAATCAGTTTACTTGGTAGTTTTTGCCTTCTTGGTAGTACATAAAATCAAGAGTAAGTGCCTGGCCAGAGTGGCTCAGTTCGTTGAGCATTGTCCTATGCAGTGAGAGGTTGCCAGTTCGATTCCCGGTCAGGGCACAACCTGGGTTGTGGGTTTGATTCCCCAATCAGAGAGCATTTAGAAGCCAACCAATTAATGTTTCTCTCTCGCTCTCACCAATGTTTCTCTCCTCTCCCCTCCCCTTCCTTCCTGCCTTTAAGCATGTCCTCAGGTGAGGATTGTTTTTTAAAGAGTAAATGTTGCCATCTGAAGAAAGTGATAAACAACCCTACTGAACTCAGTAAGTAGACAGGTGACAGGGGAGTGTGCTGGGAGTGAGAAACCCATGTGTAGAGAGGATGCAGGTCTAGCACCCCACATTCATCATGGAGTCTCTACCATCCTCACCAAGGTTTGCCATTTATCCATCAGAACCAGGCAGGAACAGAAAACCATTCTTTTGGCAATAAGAAAATGGGTCCAGAGGTGCTATCCACGCCAGAGGCTTAGAGATAACCCATTTGGACATGATGACAGTCACTTACTGAGCCTACCATGTGCTGCTCCTATGGCAGGCGCTTGATTGATTATCTTTAATCCCTGCAACAGTCCTGAAGATTTCCATTGGGGCAGGTATTACTGTTTTAGAAAACACACTGCCAAAATATAACAAAAGATGTAACAAACAGTCCTGCCCTTTGACTTAGTAATTCCATGTTTGGGAGTTTGTGCACATGACGTTGTTTTTCATTGAATGTAACTTATAATGAAAAGCTGGAAGGGACTTAATGTCTAATTCTAGGAATAGGGTTCAATAAATTATGTACATCTATACTTCGTGGAATATTACACAGTTTTAAAAATAATAATCACAATTATTTTATAAAAATGGGAAATGTTAATGTAGCCAAGGAGAAAACAATAAAATGCATGCACTCTATAATTTCAAAGATATAAAAATGTTTGTTAACATGGCCAATATTGGGGGAGAATAATATAAAAATAAAAGTAGTTGTGTTAAGATGACTTGATAATGGGTGAGTGAAGAGGAAGAAAGAAAAACTTCTTTTCTCCCCCAAGAAAAACTTCTCTCGGCAATAAAAAGCCGTAGAAAACTTGTTTCAAAGAAAATGAGTCAGTAGCAGCAATGATTATTGAGATATATTGAGAATAGAAATTGTTTTCAAAACACACCTAGAACTACCCAGTTACATATTTACTACTTTGAGATGTTAAGGAGATTCTGGGTTTCTTTTTTTTCCCCCCTTCTTCCCACTTGGAATTTGTAATTAGTATATCTGCAGAGCAAAAATTCAGTAGATTCGGGGAAGTGTTTGAGGCTTTGTAAGCAAAGGACAACAATGTAAAAGGTATTTGTCTAAATTTGCATTTGTATAAAACATGGAGCTGCTGTGATTTCAGAATAAATGTGTTTTAAATATTTTCTAAATACAGAGCTGTTGCAGCCCTAACAATACTTGGCTAAGAAACTACATTTCTATGATAGGCCATTGTTACTCCTTGGAAAATAATTGGGTTTTTAAAAAGGCCCCCTTACCAATACTGAGGAATGCGTCCACTTTGTCCCTTCTTGCATCTGCAGTGCTTTCTGTAAGACTCCTCTTCCTCTCTTTCAGGATATCATTGTTTTTTATTGCAGGACAAAAGGGCATGGCATTAAAACCGACATATTTAGAATTCTAGAAAATGTTTCTTTTTCAGATAAGAGCCTGTTTGTATTGAATTATACAGAGTCTTTTGCTGTATGTGTTTATTTTCACTGCTTTCTCACAATTGTTGGAATGTTTTTTTCTGTGCATTAATTCATTGATTGGAATTTCAGTTTAGAAATACTAATTAAAACTCAGCGTTATTGGTCAATTGCAGGATCAAATGTAGGAGCTAGAAAAGTTGATAAGGATTTGATTAAACATTATGGATCTTTTTTCTCCCTTCTACGTGTTAGGCTGTGCTCTGGACACATTAACAAGTGGCCATTTTTCTGGAATTCTGCACTCTTCCTGCTTCCTTTCATTATATTAGGCAAGGTTCCACTAGATGAGACATTTGTACTCCTAAGACTTCCTGCCAGGGTTCAGACTTTGTATTTTTGACATTGAAGCTGTCGTTTTCCTGAAGCTACTTAATTAGAAACACATTCATTTCAGTGTACACTGGAAAAAACTTGGATAGCAGAGCCAGGCACACTGGGAAGTTTGAGCATTTGTGTAGCTGGCAGCTAAACTAATGGTTTACAGTTTAAGGGGAAAAAATATCGTAGGGCATTTCCTTGCCCCTGGAAGCGAAGAGAAGCTGAATGTGCACAGCAGATACCTATTTTTAAAAGAGAGAAGAGGAAGAAAGAAAAAAGACAACTCCACTTTCACTGCAGTTGTGTATATAATTCTTTCTTCAGCTATTGTCAAATACAAAAGTCTTCTAGGAGAATAGTTCCCAAACTGTGCTGCTAATATTCAAGTCTGTTTTACAGGCTTCCAAGATATATCACTGCTGAGATCTTAGTAAGGAGGACATTTTATATTCTGGGGAACGATTTTTGCTTGAAGAATTTTATTTGTCAAATGGTAATGAGGGAATTGTGCCCTTTCTTATTTTTAAATGTTTGAGCAATTTTAAAATGCACAACTGATGTTTTAGAACCTTCATTGCCTATCCATTGCTTCGGGATAAAAGCCTAACCTCCTTAGTATTAAATTGGAAGCAAACCTCTCCTTTCTCATTTCTTACCACTCCGTGTTTCCCCAACCCTGTCTCCAAGAAAGCCAGCCTGCAGGTCTGTTCCCACTCTCCCAGCTGCCCCAGAGGAAAGGTACCTGGTCACCTCAGTCTGAGCCAGATATCTTATCTCTAGGCTCATAAAATACCCTTTGCACCTTTCACAGGATGTATCACATATATATGTATCACACTGGAGAGACATAGAAAAATTGCCAGTCGTTCCCTCCCTCCTTACTCCTTGACCTCCATCCCCTACCCCCAAGAAAAAGGTCGTGTAGGAGGTGGGCCTGGGGATTTTAGGTTTGGTATTACAAAGTCTGTATGGCACAGAGGAAGAGACTTTGAAGTCAAATTCTAAGTTTTCCATTTACTTTGTTCTGTGGCATTAGATAAACTCTCTGGACCTGTCTCCTCATTTGTAAAATGGAGATAATGCCTACCTTGTATAGTTATTGTGTGGATTAGGAAGATAGATTTGAGCTTCCTTATATAATGCTCAGCACACTTGTCATTGGTAAGCAACATCGTAAGTGATAATGGAGGGGCAGGGGGAGAAGGGAGAGGGGTACGCAGAATCCTGAAACCAAAGAAGGTCAATCCATGATGCCCAGGCTTTCAAACTTTGGAGTTGGGTTATGGTCTCCTGCTCAGTCTCCAACTTAGGAGCCCACTGCCCTGTGAATGAAGTTGTTGGAAGGGGTTTTGTGAATTGTCGTGTCATCCAGTGCCCTGTGTGCAGTTGGGGAGGAGGTGCTTACTGGTTGCTCTCTATGTGCCTTTTCAAATTAGAGTGGACAGTTAGATCACATCTCTTGATGGCAGAAGGAAACAGCAAATAAAAAATCATTCTTTATTCAACCTTGTTAACTGCTTTTCCTATTATAATTGTGGCAATGATAGTTCCCATTTGTACGAGGAACTGTACCAATCACTCGATGTCTATTTTCTCTTGTTCTGATAGAAACCTCTACCAGTTTGCTTCTAACATCCCATTTTAAAGATGAGGCAACTGAGACCAGGCAGCTGCCTAGCTGCTATTTTAGGGACTAACGCCAGAGTCGGTTCTTCCTGCCACCTGTGCGGCTTCCAGTGCTGCCTGCATTTTGAAATTCTTCTGAAGTTTCTAGGCTTGGGAACAAAATGTCACATTAGGATTTTTGTTGTGAAAGGAACTGTAACTGTGCATACGTTTATTAAAACAGTTTTTCTCCAAATAGTGAACCATCTGTAATTTTCTGTCGGAAGCAACAGACATTAAAGCAGCTGTGTGTCTCTGTTTCTCTTCACAGTGCTCCCATGCCCTACCTCA